TACTCAGTAAGATTAGAACCAATACTTTATGCACCTTTATTTTATGGAAACTGAGTGTACAAGAAAAAAGAATATAGATTGGCAGAGGTTTTAAGGTGACATGTGAGAAAGAAATAAAGAACAAACAGAATGAGGACAGAAAGAACTTGGAAATTGAAGGAAAATAAAATATATTTAGGTAGAGGCTGGTAAGCAAGGGAAAAGATGATATTGAACAGGTAGGCCATGATCACTGATCATGTTAAGTAGTTTAGTACTTTTCTTTTTTGTTGTTTTTTCTTTGCTTGTTGTTGTTTTTTAAAGATTTTATTATTTATTTAGAGATGGAGAGCATGAACAGGGGGAGGAGCAGAGGGAGAGGGACAAGCAGGGCTCAATCCCACAACCCTGAGATCATGACCTGAGCCAAAATCAAGGATTGGACACCCAACCCACTGAGCCACCAGGTGCCCCTAGTTTCTTCTTTTAATTCAGTGAAAATACATTGAACAGGATAGTGACATAAATCAATTTACACTCTACAAATATTTTAGGGGATTTTTAAATGTAATTATTTCCCTGTGATTCAAAATATTTCATTTTGGGAAATGGCCCACAGGACTTCAGGAGAAATGTTAAGATGGCCTCAATGAGTTAGAAGGTTGGAAAAGCATAGAAACAGCAAAACAAAATAAAATAAAGCAGAAAACCAACCTGAAAGGCTACTGCAGTATATAAGAAATTGGATTATGATAAATGATACTTTGGCCTATGATGGTGGCACCAGAAATGGATATAAATGGATAGGTTTAAAATATATTTTTAAAGTAATACCAAAGGACTTGCTAGTAGGTTGAATTTGGAAATGAGGAAAAAAACTCAAGTATGACTCATAAACTTTTGTTGTGAGCAATTGTGTGGTGACACGTATGAGGTGTTCTTTCCATACATTTCATACAAAAAAAGTTTAACTTGACATTTCTGTAAATAAAAATAGAGCCAAGAAAATAAGTTTTGGGGAACAAATGAGAGAATTTATTTTATTTTTCTGTATTCTAAAATGATCAGAACTAGAACAACATGATCTGATATGATGATACTCAGATTCAGTTTATTCTGATGGAATTATCATATCTGAATTAGCACAGTTGAGTTAGCTAGAAAACAAATAAATGTATCTATACACAACAGATGTAAATCTGTCAAGTTTTTTCAGTCACACATTCAATTATTTTATATTGAGCATCCAACAATCATGTGGTTCTTTCCATTAATTACTGAATTTGTATTGCTCTAAGAAATTTGCAATTACCTTTAGGTTATTATTTTTCTCATGTTTCCAAATAGGGAGAAATCACAGGTACCAAGAGGTATTTAATTTTAAGTGGGGAATCACGAGGGAGATGGAAAAAAAGAATAGAAATCAATTATAAAGTTAAATGTTAATGCACTTACGTAGAGGAGACACAGAGGAAAGTCAGAGATGAGGGAGAAAATGCAAGATTTTTAAAGAGCATGGGGATGGGCAGTTAGCAGCAGTCAGGCTTCACACTCAAAAAGATCTGGACTATAATGATGATGTGCCAAAATGACAGGTGTGACAGGCACATATCAGTAATGGAGATATTTACAGAGGTGTATTACAGCTGTAGGCAAAATTTTGAAATAGGCCAAGTTAGTTTTCAATGCCCTCTCACCTCCCTTCCAGCATCCCTGGATCCAACTTAAAGCACTCATTGCCCTCAGCCTGACCTCTTGATATATATACTTTCCCTGTTCCAATGTCCATGTAAGTCAGCAATTTTTGGGCAACACTCCATAACTGATGCAGTAAATTTACCTAGCTTCTGTTACATTCGTTTAGCCCCTGACCCTTTCATGACCGACTAATTTAAGAATGTATACACATTGTTGCTAACAGCTAGCTGGGTGTGTTAGCAATCTAAATGTCTTATTTCTATCAAGCTTCACATATCCAGAGACAAAATAATAACTGGTCTTAAAGAATGATGATTAGAGCAGGATATGGGAAAAGAATGTCAGTCTAGCAGATGAGATTATCTGTAGCAGGTTGGCTTTTTGAGAATGCAGAAATTGTATCAGCTAGATGTTTGCTGAGTATACATGTACATAACAGTAACCTATAAAATATCATCATACCCCATTGTGTTTCTGTCCAATTAAGAACAATTTGTGGAAAAAGTGTAATTTATAAGTTCTACTTTTTCAATAGTCTATTAGTGGTAAAATGAATTAACATAAAACACTGTAAGAGAAAGGATTAATAGAAATTTTACTAAAGAAATAATCAGAGTATATTCAGGACTTTTAAGAAAAACTTCATTTGTACTAATCCAAATATATCATTTTAGTAAAGATCATATTTTACACTGAAACCATTTACTTAATAACATGTATTTACCAAGCAAGCGTATAATTCCAAGTTTATTTTTTCCAAACTATTTTAACATAATAACCAGCACTGAGACACCTGCACGTAATTGAATAAATAAAATAAAATTGTATGTCGACGCTTTACAGAATAACACATTATGTTGTGCTAAAAAACACTGTAAATACTATTACTGTGCAAATCAAAATACAATTTAATCACACCTTTAAAAATGCATTGTATATGGATTTCAATATAGTATTGAAGAAAGCAGACATTATTAAATAAGTAAATAAAATTTTCATTAACTGTAGCAAAATAGAATAAGTTAAATATTTGACAAACTATAATGACCAAGTCAACATAACCATTATATAAATTAGCCTTGTATTTATCAATAAATTCTTATTTTTAGATCATAATAATTTAGTTTTTGAAATTGAATTGTCCAATTAGCTTGAGTTCTTTATTATTTCCCTGTTGTTACAATATATAAAACTATAGTACATATTTATTCCCGCTCTTTTGAAAACTGCTTCTTACAAAATTTAACTTGCATTTACATAAGTCTCAGTGATCTATTCATAATAAACGGAAAACAGGGGGGTGGGGTGGGAGAGAAAGAAACCAGGAGCTTGTGTAGTTACAGATAGTGTGTGATATAATTGGAAAGGAGATAAAATACTCCTTAAAGTAGTGTGTGATCTAGATAAGGATATTTCCAAGCAGAGTGTTGAATGTGCCACCTACTTTCTTCTTGGTTATAGTAACATGCGAGAGAATGATTTTTAAAAAGAATCATTGAACATAAGGGAACAACGATCTCTGGGTTTGAAAATTCCCTGGCTGTCCAGGTGGTGAAACACGTTAAAATTAAGCAATTTCATCTGAGCAGAACCAAATACAAGGCATATTCAGGAAAACACATTGCATTAATTTCCTATTTCTGCTGTAACAAATTACCACAAACATAGAGATTTTAAACAATACAAATTTATTATCTTACATTTTGGAGATCAGAAGTCGAAAATGGGTCTTACAGGACTGAAATCATGTTGTCACCAAAGATGTATTTCTTCTGGCAGCTCTAAGAGAGAATCTGTTCTTTGCTTTTTTTAGCATCTAGAGCTGTCCACGGTTCTTGCTCATGGCCATATCACTCTGACTTCTGGTTATGTAATCACATCCCCTTTTCTGAATCTGGCTCTGTGGATATTTTATAAAGACCTTTGTAATTACACTGGGCCCAAACGGATAATCTCCCTATTTCAAAACGTTTCACTTAATCACATCTGCAAAGTCCCTTTTGCCATGTAAAGTAACATATTCACAGGTTTCAGGGCCTGACACAAGGATATTTTTGCAAGTTATTATTCTGTTGTCTATTAATAAACAGTCTAATAATAAAACCAAGGATCTGACTGTTAAATCCTTTTTTTTTAAAATCTCAGGCACACCTAGGCAATGCCTCGGACAACTGATATGCCAAGTAATAGCTTCTAAGAATGCAAGGCAGTATTGCTCAGCAGCCTAAGCAGAAGCACATGCAGAAAAGTACTGATCGCAAAGTGATTTGCAGGTGTGGCCTTTGTTTAGTGAATTTAACCCAATAACACTCATAGAAGACGCAAAAGAGTTTTATGCGAATTGCATTGTACTGCCAGCTTGAACTGAAAGAGACAATGACAGAACCAGATGGAAAAAGTCATACCAACAATGCAGAAGGGTTTCCTTTTCTCCGTATCCTCACCAACACTTGATATATCTTGTTTTCTTGATCATAGGCATTCTAACATGTATGAAGTGATATTTCACCATGGTTTTGATTTGCGTTTCCCTGGTGATTAGTGATGTTAAACATCTTTTCGTGTACCTGTCAGCCATTTGGGTGTCTTCTTTGGAAAAATGTTTATTCGGTTTCTCTGCCCATTTTTAAATTCAATTGTTTGCTTTTGTTCTTGTTGTTATTGACTTGTATTAAATCTTAATATATTTTGGACATTAGCCCCTTATCCAATATATGATTTGTAAATATTTTCTTCCATTCTGTAGGTTATCTTTTCATTTTGTTCATTTTTTTTTTGCTATGTAAAAGCTCTTTAATTTGATATAGCCCCTCATTTATTGATTTTGCTTTTGTTGCTTGGTTTTTTTGGCACCATATCTAAAAAATCATTGCCAAGACCAATATCAAGGAGGTTTTCTTCTCTATGTTTACTTCTAGTTTTTTTGTTTTGCTTTGTTTTTGTTTTTTAAGATTTATTTGTTTATTTTAGAGAGAGAGCACAAGCAGGAGGGGCAGAAGGAGAAGGAAAGAGAATCTCAAGCAGACTCCACACTGAGTGTGGAGCCCAACACGGGGCTCAATCTCATGACCCTGAGAACATGACCTGAGCCAAAACCAAGAGTCAAATGCTTAACCAACTGTGCCACCCAGGCACCTCTTTCTTCTAGTTTTATAAATAGTATGGAGCTTCCTCAAAAAGTTAAAAATACAACTATCATACGATCCAGCAATCCCACTTCTGGGTATTTATCCAATGGAAATGAAAACAGGATATTGAAAAGGTACCCTCACTCCCATATTTTTTGCAGCATCATTTACAACAGTCAAGATATGGAAACAATATTAGTGCATGTCGATGGATGAATGGATAAAGAAGATGTTATACATGGAATAGCCCATACTGAGAGTCATTGCTCCCACAACATAGCCTTGGGCTGCCACACGCATGTGGATCAGGTGAACAGACATTTTAGTATTTCCCCTGCTCTTCAGTTTATATAATCCATATGCAACAATTGCTGCAAACCCGGCCATTCCAATGGGAACAAACGGTGCTTCTCTAGCTTTTCGGATAAGCTTAGATCCCTGATCTTCATCATATGAAGAAAGAGAAATGTCTGTGCCCGTCGACATAGTGGCTGAAGAATCCTCCTCTGGATCAGTGTAAACTGTTCAACCGGTCAATGGAGCAGAAGTTTTTTCTCCCTCCTTCAGGAAGGAAGGGGATGGCAACCTCTCTCCTACAATGACAGGACTTCTGCTCCAACGGGTTTCTGGGCAAAGCCTAAACCTTAGAAGAAGAGAAGCTGTCTTGGTTTTGTTGGTGGTGCTTGCTTTAGCTAGGCATCTCATAGTGAGCTTATATGTTTATGTCTAAAATAAATCATTTGAATGGGTCACACAATAACAAGTAATTTAAATATTGGCTTCCTTTCTTGCAGGCTTGATTTGCCTGGTAACCAAATTACTAGTGACCAGTTAACTAGCTAGGTCATTCAGCGAAGTCAAATTAGAACAAAAGAAACATGTCACTTTTAAATGTACTTGATAGTGGTAAAATATGCTCCTTCTTAAACTCTTCTGATGAAATCAGTTATAAAGAGGACAATTTGCCAATCCTGAGTACTCCCAGTTGCTGCAGAATATCACATGCTTTTGATGTTATGTGGGAATCCCATTTAACTTTTTTCTACCTGTTTTGCAGACTGATTGAGTACTTCAGTTTTTAGGGCTGGTTGACTCTTAACCCTTTCAGAACAGTGCATGGAATATAATACAATAAGCTTCCCCACAACCGAAAATACGTGTATTTAAACCAAACCTAAAAAAGCCGACAACAGCTGCTTAGAAGTAGTATTTATTTCAGAATCATACTTGTAAACATGAAAATAACTTAACTATGGATCCCAGTTTAGCTTTTTTTGTAATTGCAGTTATATTTATGCTGCTGTTGTATTAGAATAATTTTTAAATGTTATCTTAAAATAGAAATGTGTATTTTAAGTACTAATGCAAAGGTTAAATGAAAAACACTTTTAAATGTAAAAAAAAAAAGAAGATTTTAGATACACACATGATGGAATATTATTCAGCTGTGAAAAACAAGGAAATCTTGACATGTGTAACAGCATGAATGGACCTTGGGGCATTATATGATGAGCTAGATGTGTTAGCTATTGCAGTGGTGGTTATCATATCGCAATATATAAATGTACTAAATCAACATGTTGTACACCTTAAACTTACACAATGCTATATGTCAGTTATATCTCAATTTTAAAAAAGAAAAAAAAGGTCTATTGGAAACAAAAAATTCTGTAGGTAGTAAGCAAGATGAAGAAAGCCCCTCAGCTGCAAACATGGGCTATATTTCATAAAAAAGGAGAAATTACACAGAGGACATTTCCTAGAGCCACAGTATATCATTCTCAAACTTCTGAGCCCTAATCCAGGAACAGGTAACTTGCATCATTCTGGATTTCAGAAAGAAGCAATAAAGTGTTGTGTGTTTCCCATTTTTCCCCTTTATTAATAAGAAGGTCTCTGGCAGTGACTCTTTGCCTACTCCAGTATTGTATGTTGAGTTTATGGAAGACAGGATGAAGTGGAGCAAATACCTTGTGTCCGTAGGTCATAGATCCTCAGCTCAAGAGGACTTGCACTCTAGGGACCATACCTGAGATGTCTCAACCATACCTGAGCCTGATTTCAAAGACAGGATCCTGTATTTGAGCTGATGTTAAAAATAGATGTGAACTGGGTAGGTGGGGCTTTGGATAAAACAGATTTTGCATGAGAGGCGGGCATGTAGGCATGAATCATTGGAAGGCCAAAAGATGGATTGAACTTACCATTCTCCAATGAGTCTCACCTCTTTGTATTTGCAGGCATGCGTAGTTCTTTCCCTCATTGAACAAGACTGATTTGTGGGCCAATTAGATATCGTGGACATGATGCTATGTGACTTCCGAGCAAAGGTCAAAAAATACTTTACAACTTCTTCCTTCATCTCTTGTGTCACTCACTCTGGGAGAAGCCATCCAACATGCCATAAGGACATTGAAGCAGTCCTGTACAGAGGCCCACTTGTAGAGAAACTGGGACGTCTCGCCAACAACCAACACCAACTTGCTAACCAGATACATGAGTAAACTTTGTAGTGGATTTTCAGCCCCAGGTCAATCCTTCAGAAGAAGACTATAGCCCTGGTTAATGTCAGTGAGTGACAGACCAACCCAATTGAATAACTGTTCAGACAAGATGCTTTACACTTGCAAAAAATATGGGGGATAATAGATGTTTATCATTATCTTGTCACTGGTTTTAGGATCATTTGTTATACAGCCATAAATAACTGACCTATGCAGTTTTGTCTCAAGATAAAAAAGTATAATTTTATTTTCCATTACAGTTTTCACCAGTCTTTGTGTATGCACATAAGTAAGCAATTCCATTCTATTTTCCCCATAACAGAGATATAACTCATACCAGAAAACTATTTTATATGGCATAATAATTTTCTTTGACTTTAGCAGTCCTACCACAAAAAGCTCCTTATTTCATACATGTAAGGACATGTAATGACCAGTTTCATGTCCTTGCTTTATACAAAGTTTCAGTTTCAGAAAACTTTTGTTTTTGATGTATATGCATCTTCAGTTCTATTTTCTTTTATCCAAATAAAATATACAATTCTACTAACCACATCCTCTAACATGTGACTCAATGAATTTCTATAGTATATAACTCTAGCCAAGGGATAACTAGCTTCCACTAACTCTCTAGTTAAATATAAACAGATATGGGGTACCTGGGTGGCCCAATCGGTTAAGCATCTGCCTTCAGCTCAGGTCATGATCCCAGGGTCCTGGGATCGAGCTCTGCATCGGGCTCCCTGCTCAGCGGGAAGCCTGCTTCTCCCTCTCCCCGCTGCTTGTGCTCTCTCTTGCTTTCTCTCTCTCTCTCTCAAATAAATAAAAAATAAAATCTTTAAAAAATAAAATATAAACTGATTCATCAAGTATCTATCAAAGAAAAATAGAAAGAAGGCCACTCAGCTGCATACACAAGTATATTTCTTGAAAATGGAGAAATTACTCAGAGGCCAGGTACAAGAGTTACAGCATATCATTTCCAGATTTTGAGCCTTAATCAACGAACTGGCATTTTCAAAATGCTGCCTTCAGAGTAGATTTCTCATCTTACCCTTTTTATTGTTGCAGTATGCCTGAAATGAACTGTACTCTCCCACTTAAGAAACCTGAGCTTATCATGTTTTTAACAGTTGATAGATGCTTCACTGATGTTACTAGTAAGAAAACTATGACTTCTATTATTTTCAATTTTATCCATTGAGTATGTCTATGAGCAGTTGAGGTAATAGAAGAGTTGATGGAATGATCTAGGATTCATGAGATTTCACTGCACATCAAATTTCAGAAACCATCATATTATTTGCTTCAAGATATAATGTCTTAAAAATTTATAACATGCTTATATTATTTGCTTTGTCGGCAAATGCCAGGAATTAGAATGAGTACAATAAATTTCAATTTGTGAAAACAGCATTTTAAAGGTGGTGGTAGAATTTATATGAAAATGAATTTATATTGTCTGCATATTGCACAAATGTCTGTCACGTATGCTAATTAAGGAGGGTTTCAAGGCAACAAACTATGAATACTGTCAGTTTTCCTATCTTTTTAAAGGCTCAATTATCTCACATAAAACATGAAGAAAAAGTAGAATTTTCTCCTGTGGCTACTACGAAAATTAAAGAATTAGTGTTTGTAACCTAATGTTAAAGTAGAATTTTAAGTAAAAAAAGGTAAAATCAGTTAGTTGGCTCCATGAGTTGGAGCCTCATATCCATTAATAAGTATTTCACAGTCCAAAGTTTTGCCCTAAATCTTTTAGACACTGACTTTTCTCACAAATTAAGAATATTTCTGTTCCTTAGGGATGGACTTGCTTTTTAAAAAATATTCTGGACTGGGGGCACCTGGGTGGCTCAGTCGTTAAGTGTCTGCCTTCGGCTCAGGTCATGGTCCCAGGGTCCTGGGATCGAGCCCCGCATCGGGCTCCCTGCTCTGTGGGAAGCCTGCCTCTCCCTCTCCCACTCCCCCTGCTTGTGTTCCCTCTTTCGCTGTGTCTCTCTCTCTGTCAAATAAATAAATAAAATCTTTAAAAAAATATTCTGGATTGACATATAAATCATATGCCAAATTATCCATTTTCAAGAACCTCAAAGTTATAATTTCAAAGGAAATCTGGACACAAGTTTTCCTGCTAGAAAATTTTCCCTTTGTGGGTATTTTACATGGGCAGTCAATCTGCAAACAAAAATTTATTTGGGGAGAATAGAATCTGAGTAAATGGAGATAGTACAATAATCTGAAATTTTAATATCATCAGGCTTACAGATTCTAAGGCATCCATCTGGAAAATCAGAATGTATTTGCCACAGCAAGCAAAAAGGTCAAATTCTTGGGCCAGGGCACAATATTTTTGGCACACATTTTATATTGACAAATTTAGTTTTCTTTCTTCCGTGATTATTGAATAGGAAATTGAGATCATTCTGTGTACTCAATGTCATATCTGAAATCAGAATTATTGGGTTACAAATGATTAACATAAATTTTTTTGAAGTCTCTAAATATTGATCAACATTTTCTTGACATTTAGTCTTTCAGAGATAAAACCTGGATATAATCTGAAATGGTTTTTCTGTTTTGTAAGTAACCTGGTAGCTCTTGCACAGCTGTATGTTGGTAATTATTACCTTTATCATTGTGACTCAAAATATAGTGCATGATTCTCTTTTCACTAATTTTGTCTAGATTCAGTAAACACTTTAGGGATAGCTACCAAAGTAATTTATCAAAACAGGAAGTTGTTTTACTTCTATTATATTTGATTTTTTTTCCTTTATGCTATTAGGCTAATAATATCTTTGTGCCTTTTTTTCTTTATCCCCAAGGCCAACCATTTCATTCATAGAAAGTTTGTGTTATTGGCCTTACACTTGGTATTCTGGGGGGGGCTTCTCAAAATGTCCTGAGAATCACTGTTGCAATTTTCCTCAGTGTGTTCTTTCCAGCCTCCTAAATGAATGGATCGTAATTTTGATA